GCTGAAGGCCGAGTGGAGAAGGCCGTCGAAGCGCGAACATCTCAAAACATTTGAATTACCTAAAAAGAAAATGCTCTTCCCGTCCGTGTGGATGACGTCGACGAGTTGGGCATCGGTGTAGTCCAGCCGCAAGTGACTGGGCATACCCTGGAAGTAAGGCTCGGCCGGATCGAGTCCGGTGATGCGTCCGATGTTCCCGTTCAGCTTCTCACCTGCGTAACCGGCCGTGTGAGCGCCAAGGCTGTGCCCGATCAGGTGTACATCACTCAAGTCGACGCCATAATTATTCTGAAAGAAACATTGTTTGAGCTCGGTGGGGTCCGACGTAACCGCGACTTTGACAAAGACGAAGAAATCACTTGGCACAATTTATTACGCAGGCTCTCGGAAAGTACAGCTAGCGATACGCGACGTTCATAATGGAGAGAGAAATTATTATAAGAAACACGTAATTTCCTCGTCTTTCATTGGATCGATTAGTTGAAATTACCTGAGCCACTGGTTGAGAAAACTAGGGAAAACTACTCGTAATCGAATGATCAATTATTATTATTGAATTATTATTTACAAGAAGTGGCTAATGATATTCCGGGGACGTGTCCGTTATAAATTTCAAAATCATTTTTATACCGTTTTTCATACCAGTTTTTTTTCCTGATTGTTTGTTTATCTGCCTATTTTTATTGTACTTGAATTATCCTGAAAATTTCAATAATATTTATGGCCATTTAATCAGTACTAAGAGCAAAAATAAAACAAAAAAAGAGTCAACATAAAAAATTTGAATTAAGCAATAATGACAAAACATTACCAATCGAGTATGCGCTAAGCTTATAAGTAAGTGAGGAAGGTATCGAAATTCACATTTTATCAACGTTTACAAATCATTTTACAAATTCTAAACATGATCTGTTGGATTTGCAAATTAAACGCATCAATAACGGTATAGTACGGTTACTGATACGCGTGTCAGTAAAACATATTCTTAGGCTTGATCGTTAAGCTTTATTCTATGTATTGTAATTGATAATGGCTTTAATCACATTGTCTCGATGAATTATCAAAGCAAAACTATATACTTATTAATTGACATTTTTATAATGAGATGCTACTCGACATACGTATTTGAAAGACATTGGACGTTTGTGAGAACAAAAAAATTACCTACGAATATCATGTCTAGTGAGTTTTTCATTTAACCTTCCTAACGACGATGACAATTCGTACAATTTTACGTCGTTGTAAAATTCAAATCGAATATTTTACAAAAGATTTGAAATTCAATATATTTGATTTTGTAAAGCATACATTAATGGTTCTCAAAAATGCAATAAAAAATACACGATTTGAAATTTGAACGTTCACTCTCGATATAATCAGGCATAAGATAATACGGCTGTAACAATTAATTTGCCTTAATTGTATAACAAGAAAGACAAAAAATTCAGAATTTAATGTATTCAATCGATCCGCACAGTTATATGCCATATACAATATTTGATAATTTTGTAGTATATATATATATATATATAGAAAATAAAACAAAAATCGTTTATTGTTTAATCATTTCGAATTTAACGAATTATTGCCCTTATTCGAAAAACCAAGGAATATTTTAACTTATTTTTATATTTTGTATCGCACTTGGTATTCTTTTTAATTTTACACCTATGAGAGTATAAAATTACGAAGAGACTAATGAAATATAATAAGTATTGAGTAGTATTATGTAATTATCCAAGTAATAATCAGATGAAGAACGATGCCCGAATAAAGTGAGTTAAACCAGAGATTGTAATTTAACACATGAATTTATCATCAATATATAGCAAGAGTCATAGATACTGCCGTGAGAGGATTTTTATTGCAAAACGTTTAAAGCCGGCAAATGCCAATAGTTGTGAATTCGAAATTATACAAAATTATTAGTCCAAATTCGAGTGCCTATACAAGATAATCTATTAACGATTCAGCCTATATTTTTTTTACATTCACTTTAATATCAGGATTAACATAACAAAAGCCTTATATCCGAAGCGAACGAGGTTAGCGCGCGAATAGGAGGCTTAATCCGAATGGCTGAAAGGCACGGAATTCGTCAATCATTCAACACTTGCCGAACCTCCAGAGTAAACGTCGGAGCTTCGTTATTATCTCGGGATATCGGTAGCCATCATGGAAGGGGAAATGTCTCCGAAACTCGTCTTCTCGCAGAAAAATACGACGGGTCAGAGCTAGCGGAGGAGCAATAATTAATTACCTGGAGATGCTTGACGAGGTGGGCGATCTCGAGACCGACGAGCCTCGTGTTGGCGGTAGCCTGGGTATAGAGGGGTAAACTGCCGCCAGCCCAGTCAACGATAATTACATTGTAGTCGCCATGCCTCAGTAGCTCGTTTCTCATTTCCTATAAAGAAAAAATATTACGTCTAGCGTCGCTCATTACTTAATCGCAACTTAATCCAATATCACGGCTCGACGCTTTTACATATTGACAGCACTCGTTCGGAGTTATTATCTTGGGTGTTTGCTTACACTTCTATTATAATACCCTTATAGATGAAACTATATATTTAACGCCTAAATACATGGACTCGAGATGGTGCGGATGAACGAAATTAAGCCAGAACAATTAGTGTACGATATCTTCTTTTTTATTTAAAGTCAGAAAATACAAGCACAGTCGAGAAGAATTGAGTTTAAGATTCGGATGAATGGCGGGACATTGTTTACTGTTCAACCTTATAAGTTTTAGGATTTTCTACCTGTCGATACATAAAAAATACATTAAAAAACAAGTAAAAAGTACAAAATTAAACATTTTGAATTCGACGCGAGTGTAAACTCTACAGTTATTAATTGCACCATTACAAGTAAGTTTAACATTAAATTAAAGGAAATATTATAGTGTGATTCAATAAGTTTTTTTAATAATGACAAATGTTAAATGAGGGAAAAAGATTTTTTATATTTTTACAGTTCGTTATTAGTATCTAAATGTGTACGTGTAAAATTAGTATGAAAATATTGTAGCTCCTTGCATCATTTAAGCATAGGATATGGCTTTTTTGACGTCTTTACCGTTGCTCTTGTCATATTATAATAAATTAACACTAGTGCATTGATTGATTTATATTACTGACATCATCTACGCTTCATTACAACATTCGTTACATCGTATTAGAGACTATAGGCTATTTGTTAAATTTCAATATGGAATATTAATAAAGAAAATTATTTTATAATCACAAACAATGAATGAAAATTAATACAATGAATCATTTTTAATTACAATTCAAATAATTTTGATATATATATATATATATATATATATATATATATATAGATAAATCAATATAAAAATGATTCATGTATCTACGATAAGTATTAGGGTTGGCAATTAAAGAGGCAAGCCGTCTCATTCGCAATAAACAGTAATTTATAACTTATCGATCAAGTTTTTAATACTAATAACTTGTCTATTTCTGTTGAGCATTTGTCACTGGAATTGATTCGGATTATCGGATAAACTTTTTATCGAGGAAACTCTTAAAATTATTCCATATCAATTATTTGACACGAACCACAAGCCAAGAAGTCAAGGAAACGCTCATTCGTACGCTCTGGCGAGAAGAAGCACTTGGCAAAGCTAAAAAGTTTGCTCACGTGCCACGCCAAATAATCCAGCTTTGCGGACTTTCCGCTCTCTCGCGTGCGTCCCTTAACCATCGCGATGTATTTCACTTCACGAGCGAGCGAGACAATGGACTAGTCGATGAATTTCCTGCCTCCCGTGCATACAAAGCGCTCATGACGCAAATCGGGCTAATGGGAAAAGCGAGAGGACAAAGTTTCTGGATCCTCTTGTTTTTCCCACTTCATTCCAGTGGGCTTTGTATTTCTGACCCAACATCCCACTCTCCCCGGTAGATTTTTTCCTCGTGCTTATACATAATCTATGAATTTTCGCGCACCTGTTTGTCGCTACGATGTCAATAGGATCCGTTAAATAGACGGTCAACTCTCTTAGAGCTCATGAATAAACGAATTTTGTATGCAAAATATTTTTCATTGAAGATCTCTAAAGATTTTGAATGTTAATTAAAATTTTAAGTTAATGTTTGAACATATTAAAGTGCTAATATAATTTTTTATGTAGCTATTATATATATATAAGAATAAATTTCTATGTCTATTATTCTATACTTCATACTTGTTTTTAATAAACGTTAATTTTATTTCCGTTGTAAATAATATAACAGAGATTGTCATCGAGGTTAAAATGACAAAATATTGTTATAATATACAAGATTTATAATATAAATTTTGTTTTCACTACACAATCATATATATTCTCATATTCAAATGAAATACATATGATTTTCTGTATTTTAAATCAACAATATTTACTTATAAACAAACATTTAAAATGTAATTAATTAATCACTTTTTATTCCATATTTTTTGTAATTTTTATCAAGTATTATTAATTATTATTAACTATTATTAATTATTATTTACATATATTATTATTCAATGTCGACTAAAATTATAGCAATTATAATGTAATAATTTGAAAATAATTTAAATTCCTAGTACCGTTGTGACTATTGTCACTTTTAAAATGAATAACTTCTTTTAATGATACCAATACCCGCATTATTGACTAAGCTATGTCAATTGAAATAACAATATCACGTACTCATATAAAATAATTACTATTAAAAAAAAAGGTGTGATAAAACTGAAAATTTCCTCATTCTCAAATGAAATGCTTGGCAATTATTTCAATTATGGCACTATGTAAATATCGAAACTATGCTGTTGCAGAATTATCGTAGCATGAATATGATGAACCGATTCATCACGTTTGTAGTGATTGCAAAATTAAAATGAATGGCTCACCTTCACCCAGTTGCTAAGTGGCGTGTCTATAAATCCGTGTATAATGAACTTCGTTTTTCTCTTCGCACTGAAGTTGGAACGCTTGATGGACTTATCCTTTCCTACGATTAACACTTGGCCCTAAAAATATTCAAGCAATTAATAATTATGTGTTTTTCTAGTTTGTAGCAATTAAAAGATACATTGGACTTTGTTAGTTTATACTATTTTTAAATATTATTTACACTTATGCTTGATGCTAAATGTTGGTGCTCATGTGTGTAATAGTGCGCGCGCACGTGTAATAAAAAATTTCAATTCATTCTTTTGTAGCTTCGGTAATTTCAGAATTCATAGTTTTATAAATTTATGAAATTCTCTTTAAAAACTCAAATAAAAAAATTAATAATTATTAATCCAGAAATATACATTGTATTTTTTTATAACTATTAAACATATCGATATTAATTCATTAAAAATATGAATTTTTTACTTTATAATGTATTTTCAATAAATTCTTACGAAGAAAGGTAGATTACAATGTATTTAAACAATTGTTATTCTAAATTACATAGATGTTGAAGTTGTCTAAACCGTTGTATAAAATACATAACATGATTTAAATCCAAATGAAATAAGATTTTTTATTAACTGTAAGCTAGAATCAATGGTTTACATAAGTTCAATAAAGAGTAAACGTTTATTTATATGAGGTAAAAGATCTAATATTATTGATTAACTTTTTATACATAATAATACAGTAGACAAAAAGGTAATGAAAACTTGTAGTAAATTTTAAATAAAAAATTGTTTTATACTCTGTTAAAAATGCAAATTATATTAATTTCAATGGCAGTTAAATTTAAATGCAAAACTATAAATTACAAAAGTTGAAGTTCACAAGTTTATTGGTGAATTTAATTCTCTAATGATTACGAACAGCGTTCGATCCTTACTCATTCTTAATACGTAAATACGCAATATTTAATACCCCTCCCCCCCTCTCTCTCCCTCTCTCTCTCTCTCTCTCTCTCTCTCTCTCTATTTCTTTTTCTCTTTTGCTACTATTGAAAAAATACAGCTCTTTGGCTTTCAGCGTAAAATGGTAATACCGTTAGTCTAAAAATGTATAATACGTATCGTGATATGAAGATACACTAATGTATGTAGGAAACTAAGTGAGATTTAGAAGAAAAAGAAAATTGAAGGAACCAAGACTGAGTGATTAAAAATAAAATTCGCATACTAATGGACTTTGATGGCAACCAGCAATAAACGAAATAAGCTTTATTAACAAATCTGCCATTTATCAGTACTATAGAAATGGCAAACGATTTTAATTTAAATTTAATTGTATTACGAGTGCAATACAACCTCTTTAATATCTGCAAAATCTTTATTTATGATTAAGCCTTTTGCTATCTAGCTAGTATTTCCAAGACTCTTAAGAAATATCATAAGAAATGTAATTAAATGGTTTTAAAAAGTATGTAATGGTTCGATAGGAAAAAAATAAAACGACTTTGGCTTAAAAGTAATTGTTAACCTATTAAAGTATTTAATAAACGAAGGTAATAATAATCAATCAGAAAATAATTGAGTTTGTAAACTGATGAATTTATTGCGAAAAAAATTTAGGGATAAAAAATTGACGACCTTTCATACTACGAAAAAGATAAAGCGATAATAAAGTTGTTGTGTTAATGTGAAACATGGGCTCTACATGCACGACACGTATAACAATAGTAATTGTAACTTACTTCAGTGGGATTATCGTTGGTATAAAGTATAAATCGAGTATTTATAACCTCCCGAGGCAGAGGGAAAACATTGAGAGGTCGGTGAATAAGATGATACCAACTTCGTGTGATGTTTAAGCAGCCAAGTTCATCATAGCAGCGCGTCTCGTTCTCAACTACGAATATGCAAAAACATTTACTACAAATTTATACACGACTGTCTTAAGAATCCGATACATTTTACCCAATATTTCCTTCATTGTTATACTATTTTTGGCTGTATTATACTATCAGCTACTTTAAACTAGTATTATATATTTTACAATTTCAGAGCCAATCTGAGGAGCAAGAAATATAACAACAAAATTTGAAAATACGTTATTCTATAAACGATGAAATCTATGTAGAGATATTTGATCAAATTATATTCATTATGTTTTCTTAGTGAGTAATTATGAAATATTTAGGTCAAAAAATTATTTATCAATTTTTCGACTTTGTTTAAACCGTTTTAAATTCAATTATAAATTATATTATGATATCCTTGACTCTTCTAATATAATTAATTTATCAATCATAATTGTTTAAAATATTTCTATAAATATAAATATATAAATATAATAGATTGCATTCAAAAAGACAATCACTTTTATTTTTACAAGTTTTTTAATGCCTTTACAGACCCGTATTATTTTTTTGTTTAGTAATTCTTAATAGCACGTATATCTAGTCAAGAAATATAGATTTTTATTATGAGTCATTTGATACATCATCTATTGATTTTTAACATCAATGGTACTTGGCAAAATTATTATATAATAAGAAGGAATAGTTAAAAAAAAATCTTATTATAATTTTATTAAAACATAATCTTCGGATAGCCTAAATACTAGATAATAATAATAATTTGATGAAAATGCTCCTACAGCTAATCCGGTTGTTATCCATATGTATATATATATATATATATATATATGTTGAAATGAAGATAATTATTACTAGCTTAATTTAATAATATATTATAATAAATAATATTTATAAAAAATACCGAAATATAAATTATAAATATGTATGCATCACATATTGCTAACGAAATACATTGTACTTTTATGTTATATTTAGTATAAATACATTATATGTTGATGAAAACATAAACCACAATCCATTGGAGAGTACTTTTGAATTTACATTTAGAATTGAACTTTTTTTTAACAATTAACTCATTAACCACCTATTTCACATGCTGGACGATGGTAATATCAGAATTAAAATGCTACAAAAATCTTTTATCTAGAATTATATATCAAATACACTAAAATCTAAATATTTCACTAATGGTCATAAGTTTCATTAAATAACTTATAATTATTAAATAAAATAGTATGAATTACTTGATCACAATATGTAGATTTTTAATTTTTTTAATTAATAAGCATTAACTAACTAATTTTTATATTATAAATTTTATTATATATATATATATATATATATATATATATA